CTCCTGGGCCATATAAAAACAGACACAGGCCAAGTATAGTTTGCCAACTTCTGGTCTAAATGTTAAAATACACACACACACAGGGCGGGTTTGTGGTTGTGAGTATGCAAAGCACAGAGTGTATTCTCACATTATTATTTATGAATTATTGTATTATCTTCCACATGAGCAACTATAAGTGTACCCGGGAGGTACGTATACTTATTTTTAAACTTACTTACTTTCGTTTTCCTGCTTCTTAGCTGAGAGCCTGCAGGTCGCAGTGAAGGCCTCCCAGACGGGCGATGCCTGTCAGTCCCCCGAGGAGGGGTGTGCAGAAGCTGCCTTGCCCGATGTGCCCAGTTGTGATGCGCCAGGACCGCCTATTGCTTGTAAGTGAAACGCGGGCCTTTGCTATGAGCCGACACACAATCCCGTGTGTGTAGTGGTTGCATAACATGAAGGCAACGACTGTATTCCTATTTGAAGGGGATGTAATGCATTTCTTAAAATTAGAAAAAACCCTGAGAATAAATACACTAGCCTTTACGTGTAATAATGACTCTGTTGTTACAAGGATAAGGACTGAAAGAATAGTTAGCTGGTGCGTTGTATTGCTGTTGCCCAGGCAAGCTTTGTACCTCCTCCCAAACTTACTGATTTTTGATATAACTTATGGAATACAGTTTTATAAGATATTTTCAGCCTTTTTTTTTTTTTTTTTTTTTTTTTTTTTTTAGAAAACAAGACCTTTAACTTAATTTCTGCATCAGTGGAGAAAATAGAACTGAGCAGAGTAGGAACACACACACACACACACACACACACACACACACACACACACACGTATGTGGTGGCAAGGTTAAAAGCTGTGGCTGGACCTGGAGAGTATTATGCTCAGGGAATAAGCCAGTCAGAGAAGGACAAAGACCATATGATTTCACGTATATGTGGAATCTAATGAACAAAATAAACTAACAAATAAAACAAACAGACTCATAGATACAGAGGACAGACAGCTGTCAGAGGTGAGGGCGGGGGCGCTGGGTGAGAAAGGTGAAGGGATTAAACAAACAAACAAAAACTGTCATAGACACAGACAACAGCATGGTGATTACCAGAGGAAAAGGGGGGTGAGAGGAGGTAGAAGAGGGTAAAGGAAGGATAAATGGTGGTGGAAGGAGACTTGACTTTGGGTGGTGAACACACAATACAGGTTATAGATGATGTATTATAGAATTGTATACCTGGAGCCTATATAGTTTTATTAACCAATGTCACGCCAATAAATTCAATTAAAAATATTTAAAAGAAAACTGAAAAAACAACAACAAACAAACATAGCAGAAGTGCCAAAAGATTTTTGATTAATGTTGTCATACACTTCAGGTTAGAATTTATTTATGAAAATACTGTTTCAATATTTTTTAAATACGGAAAAATAGAATGTAGAGAATTGATTTAGGTAATTTCTCTAAACTTAATTATACTGTTATATGTATAGTGGTAAGATAAATATTTAATTTTCCAAAGGTTACTGATATAAGAGCATGCAAAAATATTTACAACTATAATTTTTATTATGTTCAGGTGATAAAAACCTTACTCCCACCAGGTCTTATATGTCTTTTAGTAGCTAGAAACTGGAGGATTAAATTGTCTTAGGATTTCTTTACCAACAACCATTGGTTAAATAAGATGAATGGAAACGGTACAGTTTTAAAATTCTATACATTTTTTTACTAGCATCAGTAATTATTTTCCCCTCTTCAGTTCTGCTTTATCTAATCCTGGGTTTCTATTTTCAGAATGCGCACATATGTTTTTCATTTCGACACAGCCCAGATTCATCAGGGGAGTTGTACTGCCCTGGGTGATTTCCTCTTTAAAGAAGAACCTCATTATGCCATTAAGGAAGTTCTAGCTAAAAATACACGTAGGGATCTGCTGCTCTCAGACTCACCCTGGGACAGCTGGGAGGGGCCGTGCCGGCTGCACAGCTGCTCAGAGCACAGGGCCACGCCTTCCCTCCCCGCAGAGCAGGCAGCGAGTGTTCTCCCCGTCGGTATCCACATCTCCCAGGACATCTGCCACAACCACCAAGAGGCTGGTTCTGATATCAGGCTTCCTGTAGAGGAGGGGCAGGGCACGTGGGCGGGGTCCTGTACCCCAAAGACCTCTTCAGCTCCGGGCTGGACTGGAACGCGGTGCTGCAAGAGTTTGATTCTCTTTGTGACGCTGATGAGGACAAAATACCATCCCTGCATGAGGGTCTAGACCTGAAGGCTCAGCCCCGGGTTTGACTCTGAGGACTGTGTCCTTCTAAGTCAGGCCCAGGCCCGCCCGAGGATATAGGCCAAGCAAGGCCCTCTGTTTCCGGCCTCAGTATAGCTACTCAGGTGGGGGAGGACAGTCTGCTCCCTGTAAAGTTGGCAGACCCTCTCGTCCCCTCTGAGCTGACCGCAGGAACAGAGGGGCCTGGCCTAGCTTCCCTTGTCCTGCCTTCATGTGACCACCATCAGCTGCCTTCCCCATCGGGGGGTCCTTGTTCCTATGAAGGGAAGAGAGAGAATGGCCAATTCTTTTGTTTATGCTCTTGGCATCTCGCTAAGAGTTAAGAACAGTACCCAATAGTGGAACCACATTTTAGTGACAGAAAAGTCTTTATAAAATGTCCCTTCACTGTATACATGAACAAGTGTTAACTGGCTTGGGCGAAATGAACTTACTTTTTAGCTGCTATAATTTGAAGTCATTTCTGCTTAAACAAAAACTTCTTTGTATTAGAGGACTCTCATTTAAACAAGGAGAAAACAGTATTTCCTTTATCAGAAATGAATTTTCAAGATGGCACTGAGGAAAAAATATATAAACAGAGTCACGACGTATCTGTTTCATCAGGGTCCTGGTTGGGCCTGGGTCCAATGAAATTCTACGTGTGAAAGGGCTTTAGAAGGTTTTGTTTAATCAGTATAAGGTGAGCCTATAATCCCACCAACAGAGATTTAATGAATGGAGTGACATCTGTGGGTGGTACGTAAAAAATATTTCTGGAGTAGAAATATTTGTTTTTATAGGTTAAATATACAGTAGTAACAGTATTATAAATTTAGAGCATAAACGAGTTGCGAGAAAAAAAATCCACTTGGAAATTGTTTTTTAAAACCAGTTCCCCTCCTGCTGTGGTGAGTCCCTCCCGCTAAGCCTTGTGTATGGCCTGCTGCTCTCGTGCGGCCACCAGGGAGCCTGGCGCAGACCCGTGTCCCTGGCTCTGGGCCTGCCAGCCTTGCTCTGCCCCACGATGCCTGTTTTCAACTTCACCCTCCCCAGGCGGCTTTTTCCTATTCAGTGAAAGTGAGATGGAGAGCCTTCCTTCTCGGTGTCACCACCACCACACGAACACCTCTCTGCAAGAAAAGAAGGAAAACAAAACGATGGATGATAACTGATGCCCTTTGTCAGTTTGGTACCCGTTAGCCTGTAAGCTCCCCGAGGGCAGGGTCTCTGCGTTGCTCTGCGCTATTTTAGCTATTCTAGCACCTCATACGAGAGTGCTCAATACATGGGATCTCATGGTGTCTGTTAATTGGAAGTATGTGTCAGCTGTGTACAAAAGAGCCGGGTCCGCTGGCTGATGTGTGACGATGTCCTTTTTGTTTCTGTCTCAACGGCACGCTTCCAGCACTAGTCACAGAAGGGACAGGAGGAAGAGGCTGTTGGGATGTGGACCCCGGGACCCAGGGTGTGGGAGCCGACTTGGCGGTCTCTGATGCAGGGGAGAAGGTATTGTGAACTGATTTGTTAGTAAATGGTACCAGTTACTTTGTGTAATAAAATAACCTCAGGTCCTGGTCTGTCCATGGCCCCGAGTGGTATGAACATGTTTTCCTGAATTGTTCTCAAGTTCAATATTTATATTTAAACTTTCTAACTTATTTCTCCCTAAAATGTTCTTGCTCTTCCTATATCATGTAGGTGTAAACAAAGAAACACTTGAAAAGTTATTAAAAAGATTGAAAACTCCAGTGTTTACTTGTGTGTCTTCTGGTCTCACTTTCACTTTCCGCGCTGAAGCCTCTAGCTTTTCACCCACTACAGTCAGCAGTTCTTGACCAAGGGATGTTCCCAGGCATCGGGGCCTTTATGCCACCAGGTGGCACTAAAGTGGCAGAAATAATTTTGATTTTGGAATATTTGCCCCTTCTTTCCCTCCTCCCTTTTTCTTTTTCTGCCTGGGGCCCCTTCTTTTTTGACATCCTATCCACGTAAGTTATACACTCTCTTTTAAAAATTAAATGTGGGAAACTTCCTATTAACTTCAAATGAAACTGAGATGTCAGAAATAGAGAGGGACTAGGAATCCTAGTGGGCCTCCCCAGGATTGTCTGGGCTCAAGAGTTTAGCTTTATCTAAAATCGAATTAGGTACATTGCCAAATATCAATATGTGTTAATGTGGGAAAATGACATGTCAGATCTTTACATATGTAACATTTTATAGAGCATATATATTTTGTACAAATATACAAATGACGGAGAAACCAAATCCAAAGGTATTGTTACAGATGGCTGTGGTGGTTTAAAACTTCACAGGCCAAAATGAAACTAGGAATGCAGTCTTTTACCCCTCTTGTTCTGACTGTATGCGTTCTCACACTTCTTTTTAAAGTGTTCTGCTTTCCATCCTTCTCAGGGGGGCCTTACCTTTAAAGTCTGTATCTCCCAACTGCTTTTACGTTGTTAGAGAGAGGAAGGGGAGGGCTTGAACCCTAATAGTTTTCTCTGGATGGAAAGCTGAGGTGGCTGGATCCCACCCCTCAAGTCTTTTCCTTCCATGCTTCAGTAGCAGGTAAGTGAGATGAAGTGTCTAGATTCCCCTTTGCATAAGCTTATCTGGAAAATTTGCCATTAATAAGGTATTTTGATAAACTAAATGAACTGACAGGGCTGGATCACTTAAAATCAATTTTTTAAAAAATATACAATGTCTATTTTATAATAGGGACCTTAGTAAGGTAAGGTTTTAAAAATTTTTTTTTCTGAAAGAATTTTTAAATATTACAAAATATCCTGTAAATCACCACCTGCAGCTCTGCACATTGACCACAAGGTGGCGGGCCAACTCCATTAAAAAGATGATGTTAAACATTCCAGTCCTGTATCAAACCTCTGGTGGTTCTTGGAAATAAGTAACCGCACGTTGCATAATTCATTTCTATGTTTGTAATTTTTATAGGATATAAAAACTGCATATCGAGCTATCATTTCATTACAAAAACCATGGGGTGTGGAGCAAGGACAGAACCAGGGGTGCAGAGAGAATTCTAAACTCACTACAGAAGGGCGGTTCTTAGCCCATTATCTTCCAGAGGGTTGGGAACAGATCTCATGACTAAACTTCATCCCCTTCTCCATCCTTTGGTCTTCCCCTATTAGAGGTGCTGGTGAATGACGACATCTTTAACTGGCTGTGGGGGAAGAGGTCTGGCTAGGTCATCAAGGCTCACGGGCCTGAACTATTGAATTTAACAAGCCCAACGTTACGTGAGCACCAACAGCTGACTGTTTCTTGTAGTTTCAGTTTAAAGCTGCTCAGACAAGAGCAATGGGAGACTATGGGGTCTTGGAGAGAAGGAATCTGATAATCTTTCATAACATAAAGTGTGGGTGTCCATATCTATTTATAGAATGGAGTGAGTGTCCATTTCATACCAGGCAGGTATGTGGATATAGCATTGAACACACAGGTGAAATCTTACTATTCATTGCCTGACTTTCTAGAGAGAAAAGACAGACAGTAAATGAACAGACAATTGTTCCATTCAACTCCGGAAACCAGAAACCCTCATTATCCACATGTGCCCTTCATGTGTGGGTAGAGAGACCCCATCCCCAGGGGCAGGTGGTGCCTCGTCGTATCATTTATGGCCTCTGCTGTAGTGGTTCTATGAGCATGGAGGGCCCAGGGAACTCGGAGAGGTAGGATCTGGAGCAGGTCAGCTAAGTGCTCCCCTTTGGGCTGCCTCTGGGTCTGGTTCCTTCTGCCCACTACTGGCTGTTGGGCTCTGTGAATCTCAAACATTGAGACAGGGAGCTAGAGACCAGGCATGATGCTCTCTCGCTTCCAAATCTGGATCCAGGATGCTAGGGGCCAGTTTGGTCTGGGAGACAACTTCACTCGGCACAAGAGAGCTCGATTTACGGTGGTTTGTGATGGCAAATCTTGTCTCTTACCGGAGTGTGCAGTGTTTCCTTGCCATCATCCCTTTTTGTTTTAGGGAATGGTTGGGTGGAAGGATGGCTTGCATCTCAAATACCAAGTTTGCACAGAGGGGGCTTCCATTACGTGATTGTTAGTTCTCTAGGCTTTGATTTCTGGGGGGAGATGGAGTCACCCACCATAGAAGAGCTCAGAGAGAGTGAAGAGATTTACCCGAGGCCATACATTTGGGAACACTACAGAGCAGCTTTTCAAAAGTGGAGTGATTATTCATTTTCTTATGCTTTTGTGTATTTTAGGAGGAATATAGAAGTTTTCCAGGTTCCTCTCAGTCAGAGGTGAGTTATGCATACCTTAAACACACCACCATCCTCTCTTCTTTTGTGGATATAAATGCTTTTCCCAGAATTTGACACTTAGGATCTTATTTTTCAGATTATACAAGCGATACAGAATTTAACCCGTCTCTTATACAGCCTTCAGGTAACTACGCTCCTCTAATGTTTGACCCTGTGAATGTTTCTCTCAATGCACTTCACTTTACTTGATGATTCCCAGACTTTAAAAACTAGAACATTTGTGAGGCTCTGTGGTCCTCACAAATGATCTTACAAGAGTGCCAGCCCCCACTGTAACTCAGCGAGGTGTGTTGGACTTCACCTGGTTTTGTAATCACAGGGCAGCACCACTACTACATTTTATACCGTTCTCTTCTGAAACCATAAAACAGTTCATATCTTTAAAAAATACTGATGACTATGACCTGGCTTGAAGTCTACAGTGAAACTCTTAGGTGAGTGTAGCAGACTTCACATTTTCTGCTGAAAACTTAAATTCACACCTAAACATTTTTCACTTCCACATGTTGGCCTTGGGCCTTTAGAGCAGTTAAATAATTCATATGCTGCTGCGTTCTTTGGTTTGTTCATCCACCCAACATGTACTGAGTGCTCTGGCTGTGCTGGCACACGAAGGCAGAAGGACCACAGAGCCTGCTGTCAGGTGACGTGCCGTCTGTCCGGGAAGGACAGACATAGCATCGTGCTTGCGTTGAGAATTATAGGTTTGGATGGTCTCTTAGGGCACACACAAGAAAGGCTGAATGCATCTAATTGCTTAATTTGTGAATTAAAAAAATATTTTAAAATGGTAGAAAAGCAATGGTTGTATTGTACATAAATTTGTAGGATACAAATAAAATAACTTGTGATTCTACGGGCAGAATTGCTAATGTCATGTTGGTGTGTATCCCTCCTGTTTCTTAGAATCATTTCACATAGAGTCTTGCAACATGTACCTTTCTGTGTCATCAGCGGTTATTCTATAGCACAGTTTTTATGGTTACATAATGTTCCAGTCTATTAAAGCTGTTTACCCAGTTCCTCATAATTAATACATTTGTATTAACAACACTCTAGTATTATCCTTATACACTAATTTCTTTGAAGATATCTGAGTGTTTCCTTAGGGAAATTACTGGGACATTTTCTTTAGTTTTTTAATAGAACTTGTCAAAGTAATTAATCAATACCCCTCTCTACTTCTCAGTTTGAAAATTGGTCAAGGTATCAGATTATCTTAATTTAAATTGTTTGGGTGACTGTTAAGATTAAACATTTTTCCTACTGGTTTGTTACCAGTCATACTTCCTATCTCATAGCTGTTGAATATGAAAAGAAAATAAAATTGTCTGATTTTAAGTTTTCACCAGAAAACAAAAATAAAGTCATGCTACATTTGACTTTTTCTTATTTGTACTTCAACTGCATCAAGACTTCTTTCTCTCATGTTCCATTGATCATCTACCGATTCTTGCTCTGTGCCACTGTCTTAATTATTCAAGTTTTGGGTTACATTTACATATATGACAGTGCCAGTTTCCTGTTATTACTTTCTATGCTTATCTGTATGTTTTTCATAAAGAGTTTTTGAATGACTAACAAGTTTTTTTCCTTTCTACTGAGATTGTTTAATTAAAATCTCATTATACAGGGTGGGGCAAAAGTAGGTTTACCGTTCTGAGTACTCAAAACAGTTTATTCTTGTATTATTACTTATTCTTGTATTATTTTCCATACAAGCCTACTTTTGCCCCACCCTGTATTTATGAATTCAATTATGGAGAATTGGCAATTTTGCAATGATTAGTACTCATGTCTTTGAACATGTTAGTCATCTCTTATTTCATGCTCTGCTGGGAAGCTTTGTGATTATCTTCAAGTAGGTACTGTTTGTTTGTTTTTCTGCTAAGTTTATTTCTAGATGTTTGTCTCGTTGTTCCTATTGTGAAAGGAATATTTTTTTTATGCTTCCCCAGTGGTGGTTGCTGATAAGAAGGGTCTTGATTTTTATATGTTTATTTTGTAACTGGCCACTCATTGAATTTTATATTTTAACTAGAGGCCCGGCGCACGAAATTTGTGCAGGAGCGGGGGAAGTCCCCTTAGCCCAGCCTGCACTCTCTCCAATCTGGGACCCCTTGGGGGATGTCTGACTGCCAGTTTAGGCCTGATTCCGGGGATTAGGCCTAAACCAGCAGTCGGACATCCCTTTCACAATCTGGGACCACTGGTCCTAACTGCTCATCTGCCTGCCTGTCTGATTGCCCCTAACAGCC